CTCCGCCTCTAACAAGGCTTCCCTACAAGAAGCCAACATTCCAAAACCTGCCCCACCTTCCAGTCATAGTTCTCGAATCTCAGATAGCGGCATGTAGCAGCTAATTCTAGAAATGCTATAGCAGCTAAATAATTTATACTGTACATATAAATACTCAAAAAATAAAACAAAACACCTAATATTAAAGAAATCCATGATCTAGGAGTAAGGCACAGTTTACACACACAATCATCAATCTAGGAGTCATAAAACCCTAGTAATGAGATATAAACGGAAACATGGTGAAATTAATAGGAAAGGAACATAAGAAAATAAATAAATAAAAAAAGAGCAGAATTTGAATTGAGTGCGAAGTCAAAATGAAGAAGAAATAATGGAATACAGAATAAAAATAGTCCTATAATGTGTGAAAGAAGTAAAGATCAAAACAGAGGTAACTTTTTGCCCAAACAATGATGTTCTACTTCTAGGGGTAAAAATACATTTTCCAACACCTCTAACATAGTAGTGGAGCTATAGCACATGAAAAGCTGCTATTGTAAACTGCTAGGCTATTTGAATCCCATTGCAGCATGGACCGCCCTGCTATCCCATTATAGCATGCTACTCTCTCCGAGTTTCTTTCATAGTCATTTTGATTTTTTTTTTTTTTTTTCATTATCACTTTTCTAAAATTAATGGCTTATTAATTTTTTTTATCATTTTTATCCTTGATAATTAATGTGTATTTACTGAATAATGTGTTTATTCATTTTTAATATACTTTATTTATTCTCCAACCATCTAATAAAAAGGCACTCAAAACAAGTGAATGCTCGAATATCATTGACCAACTCCTTATCAATTTTGCTTCATTTCAATATGAACAAGAATTTATTGACTAAAGAATATAAAAAGTCTACAACAAAATAATGTATTGACAATAAAAAAAAGGTTTTCTACATAAATACTATTTTACGCTTACATAAAATTCAACGAAAATCAATGTGATAAAATCTAACAAAATTAAATTTGGATTTCTATTATAAAGGTATAACAGGAAAATAAGTAATAAATATTTTGAAAATTTAAAATATCAATCATTTTGTTAATTCTTGTACATAAACCTTAAACATCAAACAAAAGAAAACAGAGAGAGTATTGATTACTATTCCAGCGAGGATGAAGTCTTATATACTCCCAAAGACTTACCGATCCCAACAAGGCAACAATGGATTTTGACCAAGGTTTTAAATCAGAGACACAGTTGTGGCTACATATTTATCACAATTCTTATATTGTGAAAATTTCCGCAATCCATGATATTATGGAAAATTGCAATTAATGTGACCACAATTGCAGATGGCCATGATACCCGAAGAAGACCTTGAGAATAAGGCCAAAATTATGTCGCAGACCGTTATTAAAACCTATTATCGAAATTTTAACAGTTCCAACGTGCCTAATTGAACACTAAAGAAAATTGCAATGAATACTCATACCTTACAGGGCATGACCCATTTGCCACCAATCCAGTCCTGGTGCAGCCTCAACTGAGAGTGCTGAAACTCTAGCTCTTCCTTAGAAGACCTGAAGTAAACTATGTACCTAGAATCAGCAAGAACTTTAGAAACCACGCCAACCCACCAGCCATCATTGTAGAGAGCATCAACTTCATCAAGAAGACTGAATTGAGCAGCAGTGTCCGGCGGTTGAGGCCTTAAGTGCATGACATCAATCTCCTCTCTCAAAAGATGGGAATCATCATCAACCAAAAGGCTCTGGTACTCAACAACAAACTTGTCCTTTCCCTTAGCCTCAACAATAGTGGCAGCAAACCAAGCCCCACTGAACCCATCTTCGTCACTGCTAACTTCAACTGCAGTCCCTACCCTATACTCCTCCTCCTTCACAGTCTCAACAGACTTCACAGTTTCAACAGACTTCACAATGGGTGTCAACGACACTTCATCCAATTCACTTTTATCCTATAATTAACATCATCATCATTACATTAAACTATAATCAAATTAATATACATGCAAATTAGTCCTATCCAAAAACGCTGCAAATAAGAAAAAAATAGAGCGAAGCGTGCCTGTTGCGGTGGTGGTTGTAGCGGTGGGTCCCATTCATGATTGAACCACTCACGGTGGAGCCTGAGTTTATCTTTGGGAAACACCAATTGCTCCTTGGATGCTCTGAAATACACTGCAAAGTTCTCGTTTTCCAATTCTTCGGTTATGTGACCCTCCCACCATCCATCATTGTGGTAGGCGTCAACTTCGTCACCAAACTTGAACTCAGGGGCGGTCTCAGTCGGAAGAAGTGGCCGGAGGTGGCGGAGACCGAGGGGTTCTCTGAGATGCTCTGAACTATTATCGTCGGCCATCAGATTGTCGTACTGGACCAAGAACCTATCGGAAGCGATTCGGCGAATGATGGTGCCGGAATACCAGGAGCCGCGGAAGCCGTCATCCTCGGAACTGACTTCCACCTTAGTGCCAGGTTTGAAGAAGGCGGAGGCAGTAGCGGTGGCCGAGGCAGAGGAGCTGCCGCTTTTGGGTTTAGGCTTGCGCGTCATCGCTGGTTTTTCGGTTTAGGGTTTGGCTGTGAGTTATGATCACAGAAATCGAAACGGAACGGGAGAGGTAATGGCTTTTATAAGTGCGTTTGGCGGGAATGTGAAGGGACTAGCGTCATTTTCAGCACGCATGCTCCATTTATGTTTTCAAAGTTTATTGATACCTGCAATATATAACTCATTAATTGATAATGGTCAAACTTTTATTAGTTGTTATACATTTCAACAATTTTAATTAAATGCAATTTTTTTAAAATTTATTATTAAATTATCATATATATATATGCCACCAAACCACCTTATCACTCCGACAGTTCCACAGTTTTAACTCATACATGAATAAAAATAAAATAAAAAATCTCGAGTTCTTTTGAAAGAGTTTATCAAAATATGCTCTAACATTGACTATGATGAGCTGCCTTGACGGCTGTGCTGATATGGGAGTATACATTGTTTAACTGTATTTTTATTCTCACATTAATATCTGATTATGGTCCTCTTTTTTGATTGAAACAAAATTAGTATCTTAACTTTTAAAATAAATAATTTTGATCCATTTATTAATTTGTTGAGAGTTTTCTTAACTTTTAAAATTAAGTAATTTTGGTCCATTTATTAATCTATTGAAAATACAATATTGACTCTTAAAAATATCAACGTTTTTTTTATTCATTATAAAGAGTATTTTTTATTGAATAAAAAACAATATTTTGTAAAAATTTGACAAATACAAAATATGTGAATGTTAACATGTCACTTGAGGAACATTTGATAGGGGAGAAGTTTTTTCATATTTAAGAATCATGATTTTTGTGAATTACAAATCGAGAAATTATGATTATTGAGAATAACTAAAATATGTTTGTTTAGAATGAAAGATTTTGGAAATATTCATACATGATTCTTGAGAATTAAAGATTTTCATGTTTGGTTATAATAACATATTCCTAAGTTTATAAATATTTTTTTACAAAAATATATTTTATTAAAATAAATTCATTGTATATATTTATCTACGCAAATCTTATTAAAATTATTAAATTTTTTAAAAATAATTTAAATGCAGAATTCAAAAAAAAAAAGAAAAAAAAATACTACATTATAATTTAGAAAAATAAAATATATCATTTTATCTCATTCAAATAAAAAAGTATTAATAAATATCAGTAAAATATAAAAATAAAATAAAATATAATAATATTATTAAAATTAACAAAGTCAAAGAATAATGAAATATAAGAGAAAGAGAAATAGAAATATGAGAAAGAGAAAGTAAGAAAGAGAAATAAAAGAAAAAGAAAGATATTTTTGTTTTAAAAGACATATTGTAGTCTTTTTATCTATATAAAACTTTCTTCTTAATTCAAGAAAGTTAGATTCTCATCCTCCAATAGGAATGTTTTTATGGAAAAGCAGAATAAAAATGATTGCTATAAAAAACTAAAATTTTCATTAAAAGATTTTTAAGAATGTAAAAATATTTCCTATGTCAAATACTCCCTTAATGTTGCATGAAGAATATATAATTTAGAAAAAGATAATTATTTTATTGTATTTAGACAAATAAAAATTCATTTCCACTACAATCAATTATACATTGATTATTAAAATAACTTTTTTTATAATTTTTTAAACAGATTTTTAATCATTTAATTATATAAAATTTACAATTTTAATCTAAGTATTAATCTCATTAGAATATTAATTATTACATTTATAGACTTTTTTTAAATATATCAAAAAAAATTATTTATTTAAATAACCTGGGTCCAAGATTATTTACACAAATAACCTATTTTTGAGGCTCAGGTGAGAAATAAGTTACTGGGTAACCGATTTCTCAAAGGAATTTTTATATTTTTTTTCAAAAAGTGAATAATTATTTTTTTATTTTACAAAATCTGAAAAAAAAAGCCCAAAAAATGAAAGAAAAAAAAAACCAACCTAGTAACCGATTTTGGATTTTGAAAATAGGACCAGGTTATTTAAATAAATAAAAAAAAACCATATATTTTAAATAAAAAAAAAGTCTACATTTATATATAT